GACCCTCTCTGCCTTCCCCACCTCCACGTCGCCAGACTCTGCCACTGTCTCACACCGCAGGCCCCAGAAACCCTCATACACACCTTCATTACATCGAGGCTCGACTATGCAAACTCACTGCTGGCCGGTCTCCCCAACTCCTCCCTCCATAGGCTCCACAGATCATCCAGAACTCTGCAGCCCGTGTCCTCTCCCACATTGGGCTCCGTGACCCTTTCACCCTAATCCTCACCCGACTCCACTGGCTTCCTATCACACAGAGGATACGGTTCAAGATCCTGGTCCTCACTTTCAAAGCCCTCCATGGTCTTGCTCACCCCTACCTCTCCAACCTCCTAACCCTCTAACATCCTGCTCGCTCCCTCCGCTCAGCGGGCTCACGTCCCCCAAATTTGGGTTAAGCTGCCAGTTTATAGGTTTGGTGTCATGGTTTTTCTATTTCTTACGTCAGACCGTTTATTGTATTATCGGGCAGTGTAAGTGAGGCCTAGGGTTGTAAGAACGTTGAGTTTTCTCAAAAGTGCATCTCAAATCTCTGTTAAATTCAAGGAGGGAGAGACATAAACAGGTTGCTGCAGACATCAGCTGTCTGGTACTGCGAAGGATGCTGTTTGAAGCATCCCATTGTTGCGCTAAGGCATTGGGATTACCTGTTGTCGTTAATTCTCACAGCGAAGTTTCACAGAGGGAATTTGCACATCACAGAGAAGAATCTACACAGAGACCACCTAGTACACCGTGCCATTTACATTAAGGGGTGAGAACCATCGCAATAGCTACAGACTAACGGTTATAAAACGTTATAAGGGAGGTTACAACAACAACAACAACAAGATTCCACTTATAAAGCGCCTTTCACGTCAGGAGGACGTCCCAAGGCGCTGCACAGTTGGGTCATGACCCGAGCAGGGGGGAAATGGTCAGGGTGAGGGGAGGGAAGGGAGGGAGAGAGGAGGGGGGAAATGGTCAGGGTGAGGGGAGGGAAGGGAGGGAGCGAGGAGGGGGAAATGGTCAGGGTGAGGGGAGGGAAGGGAGGGAGCGAGGAGGGGAAGAGAGTCGAGAGGGGAGCTGAAGGCACGGTCAAAGAGAAAGGTTTTGAGACCGGCCTTGAAGGAGGAAAGGGAAGAGGCGGCGAAGGCACTGGGGGATGGAGTTCCAGAGCCTCGGGGCTGAGAGGCTGAAGGCCCGACCACCGATGGTAGGGCGGTTGGGGCGGGGGACGTGGAGCAGACCGGAGCCAGAGGAACGGAGGGTACGGGCAGGTAGGTAGGGGGATAGTAGGTTGGAGAGGTAGGAGGGAGCAAGGCCGTGAATGGCCTTGTAGGTGAGGATGAGGATCTTGAAATCAATCCTCTGGGGGATGGGGAGCCAGTGGAGGCGAGCGAGGGTGGGAGTGATGTGGTCCCGAAGCCTGGTGCGGGACAGTACACGAGCTGCAGAGTTCTGAATGACCTGCAGCTTGTGGAGGGAGGTGGCGGGAAGGCCGGCGAGGAGAGAGTTCCCATAGTCCAGCCTTGAGGTGACAAAGGCGTGAACCAGGGTTTCAGCAGCGTGAGGGGTGAGGTAATGCCGTAGTCTGGCGATGTTCCGGAGGTGATGGAAGGCGGTGCCAGTTGTGGTGCGGATGTGAGGGAGAAAGGACAGCTCAGGGTCGAACAAAACGCCGAGGTTCCTGACTGGCTTTGAGAGGTGGAGAGTGCAGCCTTGGATGCTGATGGTGTCAGCGCCTGAGGTGCGGAGGCGCTGACGTGAGCCAATCAGGAGGGCCTCGGTTTTTCGCACGTTGAGCTGAAGAAAGTTGTCTCTCGTCCAGGACTCGATGTCGGACAGGCAGCTGTCAGGACATCGGTGGTCGTGGAGTTGAGAGTAGAGGAGGAAAGGTAGAGTTGGGTGTCATCCGCATACATGTGGAAGTTAACTCCATGTCTGCGGATGATGTCACCACAGGGGGAGCATATAGAGGGTGAAGAGGAGGGGACCAAGGACAGAGCCCTGAGGGACACCACATGAGACAGTGCGGGGGGTGGAGGAGAAGCCATTCGTCGAGACAAAGTGAAGACGGTGAGAAAGGTACGACCTAAACCATTCAAGGACAGTGCCTTGAAGGTTGAGGTGGGAGGACAAGCGGTGGAGTAGGATAGCGTGGTCGACCGTATCGAATGCTGCCGATAGGTCGAGGAAGACGAGGAGACAGAGGGAGCCCTGGTCACAGATGGTCAGGATATCATTGGTGACCTTGACCAGGGCAGTTTCTGTGCTATGGGCAGCACGGAATGGGTGGAAAGGAAAGAGCGCAGTTGGGAGGCGACAACTCTTTCCAAGACCTTGGAGAGAAAGGGGAGGTTGGAGATGGGCCGGTAGCTTGATAGCTGCGACGCATCAAGGGAGGGTTTTTTCAGGGTGGGCGTGATGATGGCAGTTTTTAATGGAATGGGGACAGAGCCAGAGGAGAGGGACAGGTTGAAGATGTCAGTGATATGTGGGGCAAGAAAGTGGAGCTGGGAGATAAGGAGTGGAGTGGGGATAATAATATAATAATAATAATAATATTAATATTAATATTATTATGTCAGTGATATGTGGGGCAAGAAAGTGGAGCTGGGAGATAAGGAGTGGAGTGGGGATGGGGTCAAGGGAGCAGGTGGTTGGTTTTAGGGATAGGATGAGTTCGGTGACAGAGGGTGGGGAAACGGGTACGAAGGTGTGTAGGGGAGGATGGGTAGGAGTCGGAGTGTGGGAGGGAAGGGGTGGGTGGTGGGTGGAAGTTGGAGGGGAAGTGACCGCGGAGCGGATTCCCTTGATCTTGGATTCAAGGAAATCCAGCATCTCCTCGCAGTGAAGGTTGGAGGAGATGACCTGCGCGGGGTGGCGGGGGGGACGGAGGAGTCGGGTTGTGGTGGAAAACAGTAGCCTGGGGTTGTTCTTCGCCTCCAGGATTATCCTGGAGTAGAAGGACGACTTGGCCGAGGCTAGAGTGGAGCGGTAAATTTTGAGGAGGTCCACCCAGATTTGTCGGTGGACCGTTAGGCCAGATTTGACACAGGTGCGTTCAGCGGCCCACACCTGGCTTTTCCGTGAGCGGAGGGTTAACAAGGGTTAATATGGAGATTTAATAGAGGTTCACAGTTATGAGTTATGATAGACTAGATAGGATGAAACTATTTCCACTGGCAGGTAGGCCGATAACTAGGGAACATAGATTCAATATAATTGGGAAAAGAATCAGAGGGTTATGAGAATTTTTACACAGAGTTGTTATGGTCTGAAATGCATGGCCTGAAAGGCTGGTGGAAACAGATTCACTAACAACTTTCAAAAGGGAATTAGATAATAATCCTTGCATTTGATATAGAATAAAGTGAATTGACTGTATATTTTGGGGGGAAACATGGCAGCGTCCCACAAACAATTGTGGAGTGAGTGACCAAAACATTATTATTTTTCCAGATAGGTACTTGAAGAGGAAACATTTGCAAGGATATGGGGATCGAACGGGGGAATGGGACTGATTGGGTGGCTCTTCCAAAGATGGGGCGAACGGCCTCCTGTGTTATAATATTCTACAATTCAATGATGATGTAAACCAGACTTATTATCAGGTGTTTACTGTTTAGGCAGCAATCCACTTCAACACCACATACACACAGATTCATGAATGTGCAAAACAAAACTTTATATTGAAAAAATAAAGGACTGCACTATAAGCAATATTCAAGTGCCTCTTGAATATAGTAACAAGGCACTCAAGATGCAACCTGAATAAATCCATATTTAATATTCTGCTCCATTTTTTTGAGTGTCAAGGTTCACAAAAAATATTTCAGTTATTCAATTATTCTGACTGATTGTACAGATCAGTGGTGCACAATTTGTGAGTGAACCTTAAAAGTGGAATGTCAAAAAATGGGAGCACACATCGCTCACATTAGTTCTTTCATGTCATGGTGGTGCAGGACATCTGATCACCTTGTACATATATATTCTGTATACATGTGAAAGTTAACACACGTATGTGTTTGTGATGATATCGTTGAGAGAACATGTAAATAAGGAAAAGCTGGGTCTTGGGTACACCGCAGGTGAGCGGTGGGGTGGGAGATAAAAATGTTTGCAGACACAAATTGATTGGGTTTGGTGAAGTTGGACTCGAACCACGTGAATGCGATCCCACTGAGGTGGATGAGGGAGGCAGTGGAAGAGCATGGCATAATCACCTTGGAGAGATCCAGGAGGACAAAGAGGCAGAGGGAGCCCTGGTCACAGAGAGATATCATTTGTGAATTTGATGAGCACTGTCACTGTGATGTGGGCTGGAGGAGCTTGAGTACGGAGTGGAGGGAAAGGTGTGAGTGAAATTGATTTGCAAGTGTATTCCAAAACTAAGCCACAGTACACAAAACAATGAAGTGAGGTCAAAGTCTAAAGTGACTTCTACTTCTGCTACTCTTGGTTTGTCTTCATGGTTCCTGCTACTTGATTTCAAGTTTTAAATTTTAAAAATCCAGGTTTTAACAGATAATCATAATCTTTGCATTTGATACAATGCTTTACCATTTTGAGACGTCTTAAAGCACTTCACCGAATATATTGTGAAGTGAATTGACTGTATATTTTGTGGGCAAAATACAGCAGGCAACTGCACACAGCAGCGTCCCACACAGTCGTGGATTGAGTTACCAAATTATTATTATTATTTGAAAGGTAATCTCCAGAAAAACAATCCACCAATCGACTAATAACTGGGTTCCTACTTACTGCTGGGTACACAGATGTGTGGAGTAACTTGCCTAAGGTTTTGCCCTGTCCGGGAATCAAACCCAGGTTCTCTCGTATGCAAGGCACTCCATTCAAAATGAAGCCAATAAACCAATTTCACACTTTCTTTCCATACCTCCCAAAATCAGAAACTCGATTGAAATTTGCATCATTTAATAATGAATTTCAATGAAACAAATGACACTCAATAAAAGGATTAAAAAAAAGACAAAGTGGATACAATCCATGAACAATACTTTTAATACACAGAACACTCCAGTAACAAGAAAAATTCCCCTGACAGCCAAGGGATATATTAATTGCTTTGTAGAGATTACCTTTTGTTGTCACCTGTTTTCTACAATTACAGGATAAATCAAACCACACAGACGAACATGAAATGTCACCAATGTTTGTGATGGTAATTAATTCAGGTTTTCTACAACTACCCACCAATACTTTTTTTTAAAAACTGTAGCATTCCATTTTGTATTGCATCAAATACTTTGGAATCATATTCTAATCAGGTGTCAACGTGCTCAGTATTTGAATAACACAGTACTTTTAAAAACTTCACACTTGAGTTTCAATCAAACATTTTCTGATCTTGCTTTCATTGGTACCCTCAATTAGAAACATGCTAAATATTTTAACCTAACAAAAAATGCATTATCATTACAATATACTGCTAAAACTCAATTCACATTTTTGCAAACTTTAGTCATAGGAAAATAATTTACAATACTTCCTTTCCTCCATTTTTACCTTTCTCTATCCCAAGTTTTCAAGTCATTACAGTATGTACAGGAGAAGTTTGGGAATACAAACTACTTCATCAGACTGAGCCATCTCACATGGTAGTGGCTCAAGTCAACTGGCGTGTAATCCCCTTTACTGGCAGGAATGCAGATACTGATTGCCCTTTTTGCAAGTTCTTACCCAACATCAAAATTTCTTGGCCAGTTTTCCAGCAGCAGGAGGGAAACTTGACATGCTTCTTATGTATCACATCAGATTTTTCCTCAGTCAATGGAATCCTTTTTCCTCTTACCTTCTATGAAAACAAATGACAAGATGTAGACAAGGCAATGTGGTATTCAATGGAAGGTATTGTTCTTAGCCACTGATTTTATGAAACACCTTCCTGTAATTGAGGTTTGTGAAACAAAGATCCTGCAAATATTGTGGAATAAGAACTTATTTTTTTAAAATCAAATTCATAGCTGCTGGCTGAAAACATCAATTCATTTCAGGAACATTGAACAAATTATAAAATGCATAATACTGCAGATGCTGGAAATCTATACTAATAAAGATGAAATGTATGTCTGTGTATCTGTCTAAGGTACATGATTTATACCTCATCAGAAAGATTGTGCAATGGAGTAGTGTCATGGGCATTTTTTTTTCCGGGGATCTCCTATCGTGACTTAAACAAGCTCATCACACAAGTATGGACTACAACAAGGAGTCCTCCCACTGGAGTCCTCCCACTGGAGTCCTTCCAAAAGGATATGTGTACAAATATGTGAACAAGGGATGCTAATGAGTTCAATAGCACATTTTCTTATTCTTAAGGATAAAGATGCCTAAGAAGCGAAGATCAACCCTTTCAAAGACAAATATAAATGCCAGACGAAAAAGAGAAGGCCGGCTAAATGAAATTGGTTGCAAGGGTAGCTGCAACGGGTACAGCTAGTCTGAAATAAAAACAGAAGTTGCTCAACACTCAACAGGTCAGGCAGCACCTATGGAGAAAGGAAAGTGAGTTAACGTTTCAGGTCAATGACCTTTCGTCAGAACAAATTGCTACTCCTACCAACAGAAGAAATAGAACTTTAGATAAATATCAAAGGATTCCGCACGATTCCAGAAACATTTTAAAATAAAGGCGAAGTGTCCCTTAGTAACTAACCCAGCGGGGTTTGCTGTGAAAGATATTTTTAAAACATCACAATTGGATAAAGCCTGTCAAGAGCCTTCAATTTTGTGACCAATAGTATTTGGAATCAATTTGTGACCATTGTTACAAATACAAATTTACACTTATTTAGTGCTTCTCAAGCCAGGAAGACATCCCAATTTTTGTATCTATTAACAAATTTGATAGGTCTCCTTTAAAACTGTTCTCTACCTCCAAGCACTAGTAGGGGCCAGATTTTCAGGCATTTACTTTGATTGGTACTGGATACTGCATTCTATCACACCGCACAAAGATCCTAATGAAATCCATAATGGTCAATACACATAATGGTCACTTTCTCAGGATGAGAATCAGCCTGAAATCAGTCAACCAAAGTGTTAATAGAATATCCTATCAATCATTGTTTTCAAAATTGGACATGATACATTAAATTCCCAGCAGGCCAGGAGACGCACTTTTCTAGGATTTAAAATTACAGTACTTGCAAAGTACACTTTGACTTTGTCAGAGCAATTGTCTTCAGTTTCGTTTCAGTGTAATACACAGACTTCTATTTCTTATTACCAAAAGTTAATAAAATAAAAACACCTAAACAGCCCTATTTTTGCCATTTAAATTGCAAATCACCTTTTTACAAAACAAGACAAGAATTTCTCTGTGGGGAAACATTTCCTTAAGGATGTAAACTATTTTAAATTGCATATGTAAATTATATTGTGAAGTTGTAGAAAAAAGTAAATTCTTTCTTCACGTACAAAAATGAACAACAATGGATTCACCATATATGGATCACAAAAATGTGAAAATGTTCATTTAGTGATGGTATACCAGAAAATATACATTAAGAATTGTATTTTGAATCTCTATGTTCTAAACACTAGCAAGGCCAACTTTTAAATACAAACAAAAACATGTTTTGCTCTTGAGAACAAATTTCCTTAATATTGACCATAGACATTTTCTTTTTATTCCAGCTGCTTGAAATCTGATGTTGTGAAATGTGAAATTACATTTCAGATTCTGGCAGCAAGCACTCTTTTGTCCCAAGCAGTGGGCCCACAAAGCTTGTAATAAGGCCACTCCATATTTATTAACAGAAGTCAAATAAAATCACAAATAGGTTAACAAAAATCTTAAATACAAATACACAAATACACAAAGGTTACAATGTAAAACTCCAAACAGACACAATTCCCATCCATCCCCCTATTTAGATTAAGTATTGAAACCAAAACAGGATATAATGGCCATATCTAGTTTTTGTCAATTTTTATTTTTCTACTAAGCTTAACATTAATCAGGGCAAGAACTGCACAAAGAGCAAAACAAAAGTTGCACTTTTTGGTTAGGTATGCTTCAAACAAAACAAAAACACATTCACTGGAATTCATCCTTCAAACTGCTGAATAAACCCATTTATTCCAGCAAGGACAAAATTATCTTAAACACTGAGTTACTTAATGCAATTATTCACCCTTCAACACCTTGTAACCTGACAGAAGAGAACTCTTACGAGTATTTGGACATAGGTGATCAGTATAAACAACTAAATTTGGAATACAATATCTCATTCAGTATTCATTTGAAGTCCTCCAGATTGACCCATATTTTTACAACCAAAACTGGATTCTAAAACCAAGTTCATGATAAACGAGTTCCCAGTTTTGAAATTTTGCTCGCTATTGTACAAAGGCAGGCTAAAACCATGCAACAGAGATTTGAAGTATTCTAATTTATAAAGACCATCTGCATAACAAATCGCAGATAAAATCAAATAATCTACTGGTATGTTTGCATGTGCCAATTAAACATGAACATGAGGCGGGAATAAACAAATCGTTACACATTTACACAAGCTGTAAAGAACGGCTAATTTTTTTAAAAAAATGCAATTTGGATAATTAGTTTAACAATGATACTAGCCAATTTGTGGATTTTTGTGTTCAGACAAACAGTACAAATCAACATTCATCAATCAATTTGAAATTCAAATTAGTAAATAGAAACCCTACATGTACACAATTCAAGTGTATAAACATGTGACTCATCGAACCACAAAAAAGTATAATCTTGGCCTAGGCTGATTCAACTGCAGATCTTTGCTCTATCTCTGCCTCCAATTTACACCAAAACCCCAATGATGGATTGGATATTCATCTTTACTGTCAAGTTACAGTGTTAGACATTCACTGCACTGATAAGTAAAGAAACACTCCACTGAATAAAAAAATAAAATCTATTCTACAAGAAATGGAGGTTTCTGCAGTGTTATTGTAGTGCATTTCATCTTCCAGATCAATACAGAGAAACTGTAATTTCTATTTCAATAAGGTTCAAAATTGAGACTAATCACTTGTGACAGAACTTTAATCCTTTAAAAAGGTTTGCACAGTAACAATCCCATATTCAGTGCCACTTCTTAAAGGCAGGATTAACACAGATGTTTCTTGGTATTCAGTTTCTTGAACTGGAAACATAAATGGCAGATTATTCTCACAGTAGCAGAGTTAGCAGTGGAAAGTAGACAAATCTTTGTACTGATAGCACATTGACTGGCAAAGTCAGAATTTTTTTTGTTTTGTTTTTAATAAGAGGTAAGGTGGGCCAGCGGTGAAGAGTTAAAATCCCTCAAGTAGAAGGTGGGTAAAACATGGCACCAAAATTAGTTCTCATAAGTACAGCAGCTGACTTGAGGCGAAAGCCATTCCATAACAAAATGCTTCAGGACACATCTGTAAAATGAAAGACAATTACATTGCATAGCACGACTAGAAAGATGATACATAAGGGTATATACTTAGCAAAATATTTGTCATCCAGTTTCAAAAAATGTTTGTGAGTTTATTTAGTTCAAAGGGGAAGATTACTGCAAATTAATATTAAACAGTTAAGATAATCTGTAAACTCTAACTTTCCAATTTTAAAACAGTGTCAGCTTGGATCAGACTCGCTTCAGAGTCTGAGGTCTGTGAGTTCTACATGTTACAGTATATTCAGTGAACCGCTTTGAGACGTCTCAAAGACGTGATAAGGTGCTGTATCAAATGCAAGGATTATTATTATTTTTATTATTATTCAAGCCCCACAACAGGACTTTAAGCTCACAGGATCAACTGACACTCTGGGCTGAGGGAGCACTGGAAGTTGGAAGTGATGTCCTTTGAATGAAATGGTAATCCAAGGACCCATTCGCCAGTTCGGGTGGACTTTAAAGATCCTATGGCACGATTCAAATAGAGAACAGTTTCTCACGGTGTCCTGGCCAACAATCCTCTCACATAAATTTGGTCAATCACTTCATGGCTGTTTGTGGGACATTACTGTTGTGTTTTCCAATAAGGCAGTCACTGCATTTTACAGTATATCCCTTGAAGTGCTTTGGGATGTCTCCTTGACATGATAGGCACTATATCAATGTAAGGGGGGGGGGTGGGGGGTGGGGCTATAAATTACCATTCAAGGACAAAGGTTTGTCACTTGTTTTGTAAAATAATACATTAAGAAAACAATTACAACATGTAAAATTGGACTTAAGGCAATATTCAAATATATAAAATAAGCTTGTGATAACACCAAGAAGCTCCTGATCATCTGGGCCAATAGAAAAGTACGGAAATAATTGTCCAAAATTGTGGGGAGATTTGAAAATTGCGGGGAATTGATCGGTGCTATTGTGCCTACATTTTTCATTTTATTAATAAAAACTAAACATGAGGAAATAACACGTATTAAATGGTTGCAAAAAAAATATTAACTGCTTCTTTAACAAAAACTGGGTAGCCTTTTTCTTTAGGAGGTGGGCAGGGAATGGGAGAGCCACCGGCGAGACTACAGGAGTTCACCACCTCCTGCCTCTCAGGGCATGATACTGCACACAGACACAAATAGCCAGAGAGAGAGACACACACACTCAGACACACGCAGAAACACACAGAGACATACACTCACAGACGCAGAGACACACATATTCTCAGAGAGAAAGATGCTCATAGACACAAAGAGACATACACATACAGACACACACACACATTCACACAGAGACACTCATACACACACACACTCACACATACAGACACACTCACAAAGAGAGGAGAAACATTAACACAGACATTCACAGAGACAATAACAAGTTGCACTTATACAGCGCCTTCCATGCAACGTAGCATGTCAGAGCGCTTAAACAGTGGCGGGGGCAAACCATAAACACAGTCGAGAAAGAAGGTTTTCAGGCGGGACTTGAAAAAGAGGACAGAGGAGGCAAGGCAGAGGGATTGTGGAAGAGTGTTCCACAGCTTCAGGACGTAGTAGCTGAAAGTGCAACCTCCAATGCGAGGGTGCGAGAGACAAGTAGGAGATCGGTGCCAGTTGAGCGGAGGCACCGGGTGGTGGAATGGGGAGTGAGGGGGTCAGAGAGGTAGGGAGGTGCCAAGGAGTGAATGGAGACACACACTCACAAACACATAGAGAGACACACTCACATAGACACGCTCACAAACACAGAGACACACACATTCACGCAGACACTCACAAACACAGAGACTCACAAACACATAGCAAAAGACACATTCAGAAATACTCCCAAACCACAGAGAGAGACACACACACAAATACACATAGAGAGACACAAACTCACATACAGACACTCACAGCAGCGGGACCTGAGTGGAGAGATGCCCATTTGCCGCTTGGGCCGCCCACAGTTGCGTCGGGTAAACAGACCAAGAGGTGGGGCCTGAAACTACATTTATAGCGGGTTTGTAGAGGAGGGACCTGTTTGTAGTGGATTCCAGGGCAGAAATTGCACTTTTCTATTGACCTGCAGCTAATCCCTCAGTAACACTGGAACTCGAGCCCTTCCTCAACAAATTACAAGAATTCTCAGCAAGTACAATTAATTTATGAAATTGATTTTAAATCAAAACAGCTATTAAATTGCATCTTTTGAGTCTGAAAAAACATACCCGCAGTTAAAGCTCATTTAATTTTTAACAGGTTCGAAGGGAACTGGAAAGTATACCTGATTTGTTAACCATTTAACTCATTTACAATAAATTTAAATCCTTAAATCCGTTAAATCCGTTCATTACTATGATAAGCAATTTCATTTAACATTTTATTTAGTACATTCTAAGGGATTATATCACGTTCCTAAATAAGACCAGTTAAAAGAAACCCATTCTTTTCTCCTTGCCGTTTAGAACGCCCCTCCCCCCAATCCTTGTACCAATTAAATAAAATATAAAGACCACTGAGAAGAAAGACGCCCAAAACACAATAAGCTCATTCTGTACTCAATACTTTTATCACCCACCAATTACTTTTTGAGGGGCTTCCTGTGGAAACCCATCACTATGTTTAATAGACTCCAAAACAAAAAACTGAATGTTTCACAGTCTGGGCTTCCATTTGTCTGATATGGAATTTTTACTGAGGGATCAACCTGCTTACCTTATCCTGGAGTTTAGGATCAGTTTGGCACTAGCCAATACTCAGAAACCTCAAAGTGTGTACTAGGCACAATAATAATAATTCTTGCATTTGATATAGTGGATTGTTGAGACATCTCAAAAGCGCTTCACAGAATATACTGTAAAGTGGAGTGACTGTGTGGGCAAAAAGTGGCAGCCAATTGCGCAATATATGAGTTTAACCAGCTAAAATAAAGTAAAAACATTCTGACGCTTGCAAGCTTTCTGCTACTTGTCTAGCGAGGCCCACCTCTGAGCGACCAGGATTAACAGACTGAGTGGAAACAATCTGCTCCTGCAACTCCCACTCCAAACATTTATCTTCCCCCACTTCAGGATGAGAGTCACTAGTTGGTCATTAATTATGAATTATTTATTTGGTAATAATTACTCCTAAACCTCAAAGGTGATGAAAAACAAAAATATTCATAATCTCCCACCCCCTCAAATCTCAAATGTAGTCTACGTTTCTCCAGGCAGTGTAAACCTCTGTTGTTGTCACCCTCTTTAAAAGTTACACGTCAATATTAACTTTCAACCTTGATCTAATACTGTTCATACCCAGAAAATATATGCATTTTAAATAATGACACTAAAATCTGAACCAAGTTGAAAGAGAGAATATACATACAGCTGGCAGGTCTCTCTCCATATCGTCTCATAATCTGGTCGTGCGTGAATTTCACAAAAGCATCATACTGTTCTGAAAAACAAACAGCACAAAATCCTGCATGAAAGGATAGAAAATTCACCGTTTCAATTAAACATTCTGAGATTTATTTTAACGTGGTGTCCCAAATCTATTTAGCTATTCAAAGTAGAAATTGTGAAATCTGTAAAAAAATATTCTTCTGTGGACTCAATGTACTCAATTATTACAATGGAATATTAAATATTTGTTTCAATTAGCTGAAAATTAGTTTGTTCTAAACTATAGGATGCAGTCTTTTCTTCTGAAGATTTTCTAAACTAAGGCAATATCAAATATCTAACCTATTATTCCAATTTAGGGTGACAGCCACATCTGAATACAATATCTGGAATAGTAAAGGTACTCTCCACATAAATTATCCATTGGCACTCCATCCCAGAGCACTCACCCCCTTCAAGACCCATCTCAAGACTTTCCGTTTTGACCGTGCCTTTGGTCATTTTCCCTCCTCCAACCCCTTGTCCTCCAACTCTCTCAGATCCCAACCCGGGTGCAAGGAACATTCTCCTGACGTCCTGCCTCTCCACACCCAGCTACCTCACACATCAGCCCTGTTGCTGGCAACTTGCCTCCCTTCAGGTGGTGAAACCCTCCTAAAAAAAACAATTCCTGGAAAATTGCTAAACTCTTGAGGGCAGTTAAATAAGCTTCAGCAGAGATACCAACACAAGGCCATTACCAAACAGCAAGTTCATTCTGAGGTTGATCAACATCATCTTCAGCAGTAGTAAGAGATGAGACAAGATGAGAAAGAAGTGTGATTATAATGGAGTTTTACTGAAGTACTATCAAGAAAACATGGGGTAAAATTGCAAAACACAAGAAAGGGAAGAGACAAACAGAGGTAACAGAAGGACTGCTGTGTTGATCCTGGTCTGGGGCACTGCATCTTAATTCCCTGCCTTTCACTTTTCACTTTAATTGTTCTTTATTTTAATCTTATATAATTCACTTTTACATTTGTACACTCTGTTTTAACTTTCATCTTGTAAGGCATTCCATATTCTAGCAACACTATCAACCTCGTCAACTCTTTCTATGGGTACGGTACCATGGTGTAAAGATGATTCAACTGCAGTTAATCAAGCGTTGTTGCTTCATACGTTGATAACCTGTCTCACATCTTATAGTTACCTTTCTATTCTATGCATTTTCTTAACAATTCTAGCTGAGCATTGGGAGCTTTCACAAAAGAAACCTACTACCAAAGTATGTACACGTTTGCGTTCCATAACAGAAAATATGGATGTGCCCCAAACTTCAATGCATTTTTGCAAAATGGGGCCTTAATCATTACTTTCATCCTTTTTTTAAATATATTTGTCCAAATCTGCAGGGTGGAGCCAGTTCAGCTCCAAGGAGCTGCGCTTACCTCCCCCACAAGGAGCCCGCTCTTAACCCCCCACCACCCCACAAGGAGCCCGCGCTTACCTCCCCCACAGGAGCCTGCGCTTACCTCCCCCACAGGAGCCTGCGCTTACCTCCCCCACAGGAGCCTGCGCTTACCTCCCCCACAAGGAGCCCGCGCTTACCGCCCCACCCCCACAAGGAGCCCGCGCTTACCTCCCCCACAGGAGCCTGCGCTTACCTCCCCCACAAGGAGCTCGCGCTTACCTCCCCCACAAGGAGCCCGCTCTTAACCCCCCACCACCCCACAAGGAGCCCGCGCTTACCTCCCCCACAGGAGCCTGCGCTTACCTCCCCCACAGGAGCCTGCGCTTACCTCCCCCACAGGAGCCTGCGCTTACCTCCCCCACAAGGAGCCCGCGCTTACCGCCCCACCCCCACAAGGAGCCCGCGCTTACCTCCCCCACAGGAGCCTGCGCTTACCTCCCCCACAAGGAGCTCGCGCTTACCTCCCCCACAAGGAGCCCGCGCTTACCCTCCCCCCAAGGAGCCGCGCTTACCCCCCCCACAAGGAACCCGCGCTTACCCCCCGACAAGGAGCCCGCGCTTACCCCACCCCACAAGGAGCCCGCGCTTACCCCACCCACAAGGAGCCCGCGCTTACCCCACCCCACAAGGAGCCCGTGCTTACCCCCCCCACAAGGAGCCCGTGCTTACCCCCCCCACAAGGAGCCCGTGCTTACGCCCCCCACAAGGAGCCGCGCTTACCTCCCCCACAAGGAGAGTGACTAGTTGGTCGTTTGTGTGGGAGGTAAGCTCGGCCTCCGTGTTGAGGTGGTGTGAAAAAATATCTTTCTCCCCCCACCCACCCCCGGCTGCCTTGGAGTCATCTGAACTCCTATCCTTCTGGGCGTCCTCCCGCACTGGCCTATCCTGCTCGATCACCCTTCTCCACAGCTCCCTCTCCTCCACTCTCGATTCCTCGGCTCCCCTCTCTTCCCGAACCATCTCCTACTCACGCAAATCACCTTGGTGCACCAGCCACCTCCGCTCCCTTAAAACCCAGGCACGTTCCGCTAAGCGCACCTGACTTAAGTCAAACCAAACTGTTCACCGGCAGATCTGACTGGACCATATCAAATCCTACCGCTCCGCCCTCGCCTCCGCTAAATCGTCGTTCTACCCAAGACAATGTTGGAGGCTAAGGACAACTCCAGGCTCCTCTTCTCCATCATGAATTGGCTCCTCCGCCCACCCTCTCATGCCTCGCCTATCCTAACCTCAAATGTCAACTGCGAGGCAATGCCAACCTCAGGCACTGACAGCATCACCATCCATGTTTGCAAACTCCAACTTGCCAAGCCAGTCCGGAACCTTGGGGTCTTGTTTGACCCTCAACTATCCTTTCTGCCCCACATCTGCGCCATGACCCGCTCCTCCTTCCCCACCTCCACAATGTCACCCGACTCTACCACTGTCTCATACCTCAGGCTGCCGAGACCCTCATACACACCTTCATTACATCCAGGCTTGACTATGCAAACTCACTGCTTGTCGGCCTCTACAACTCCTCCCTCCACAGGCTGCAGATCATCCAGAACTCTGCAGCCTGTGTCCTCTCCCACACTGGGCTCCATGGCCCTATCACCCCCATCCTCACCCGACTCCACTGGCTTCCCATCACAGAGGTTCAAGATCCTGGTCCTCACCTTCAAAGCCCTCCACGGTCTTGCTCCCCCCGACCTCATCTACTTCCCAACCCCCTACCACCCCATTCGCTCAGCGGGCTCCGGCCTGCTTCACGTCCCCCACCTCGCTCGCCCCATCCTCTAGAACTCCATCCCGCAGTCCCTCCGTCTCGCCCCCTTCCTCGCCACCTTCAAGACCCACCTCAAGACCCTCCCTTTCAACCGTATTTTGGATCTCCTTGCTTCCCCCCCTGCCCTCCGCCCTCCCCTATCCCGACCCTCAGCTTGGGGCCATAACTCTGATTGTCCAGCACCTTGCGACTTCCTCCCGACGTGAAATGCGCTGTACAAATGTAATTTTGTTGTTGTTGTTGCTTGACATCCGACATGCATGGGTTTGAGCCACACTAGGTGGATGTCAGGTACCAGGATCTCCCTACGAGCTTCCGGTGGGCAGCACAGCTCAGCATAATATGCATGAGCATTGCCACCAACTTCCTGCCCACAGCTCGGGCACACGTCCCTTTCCATTGAGAGATAGTTCCATCAGTTGGAGGTGCAGAGACAACAACAATTTGCAAATATCCTTCATACTGGGTAGCATCATGAAGAGCTCAACACAAGGTGAGGGGAGAAGAGAAAACCACAGACCTTAAAGCCAATAAGGTCAAACCTCCTTTTTGAATTATTGAGACAATGGTTCCTCAGATCTGCCAGGAATAGCATACAATTCACATCATCACAGGCCTTTCATGTCGAGAGGATATGAAAGTGCTGGACAGTGCCAGCTGGGCGTCTGAGCTGAGAGGAGTTGCTAGTGGGTGGGGTGGGGGAAGATAACCAAAATGAAGAGGTTCGACAAAGAACAAAATGTTGTCAATGCAAGCAACAATTTTGGATTGATTTACCGGCAAGTTTTGTGTTTAGAACTTGTTCATATTCTTCTCGCAATTTGCTTTCATGATCTTTAAGCAGACGCTCACAGATTATTCCAACCTGACGTAATGTGAACAAAGGTTGATCCTTCTTAGATGACGATGTTCCTGCCAATTTAAAAAAAAGACATCTTGAAATCTACAAATACAAACACTGTCCCACCCACACAGGAATACAGTTCCACTAAAACACAAACTTAAGTGAATATTTCCATTGCCTTAATGCAAGTACAGTCCAGGGAAACCTCATTATAACATGGATGGCTGTGTCCAGTGTCTCAGTAACTTTGCTATAAATGAAGGTCAAGAAAAATGACCAATTTCCAGGTGGTCAGGACGCATTCTGGCCACTTTGTGCATTCATAGCTGATACACTTTTAAACAAAACTAAAATATTCAAAATGTTTCAGAGCAGACCAGAATTTCTGACTCACCTGGTGAGCTGGGTGTATTTAGTAGCAAACTGCTAGATGGTCCTTCAGCACAACTGTTTGAGTCACTTTGGTGAAAACTTCCTTCTAACTGCCTCCTCCATTGGAAACGGTTATACTCCTGCTTGATGTTCTGAAATATCTGTTCTGTAATTTTAAAATAAATGCCAGTTAAGTACAATCAAAGAAAGATAAACCTAAAATAAACATCCGCTCCCTCTCACTCGCATCCGCGCTCTTGCTCACACCCCCGCTCTCTCACTCGCACCTGCTCTCTTTCTCTCGCAGCCAAGTGTGTCTCTCTCTCGGTGTCTGTGAGTGTGTCTTTGTCTAAGTGTGTGTTTCTCTGTCTGATAGTGTGTCTGTCTCTCTCTGAGTATGTGAGTGTTTGTGTCTCTCTCTGTGTCTATGAGTGTGTGTGTCTCTGTGTCTGTGAGTGTGTGTGTATCTGTCTCTCTCTCTCTCTCTCTCTGCATTTGAGCGTGTGCGTGCCTGTGTCTGTGAGTGTGTGTGTCTGTGAGCGTGTTTGTGTCTCTCAAGTGTCTGTGAGTGTCTCTTTCTCTGTGTCTGTGAGTGTGTGTGTCACTGTGTGTCTAAGCGTGCGTGTTTCTCATCTCTTTTTGTGTATGTGTGTGTTCTGTGAGTGCCTGTCTGTGTGTCTGAGCATGTGTGTCTCTTATCTCTGTGTGTCTGTGAGTGTGTCCGTGAGCGTCTTGCACCGTGTGTCGGAGTGTGTGTGTCCCTCATCTCTCTTTGTGTGTCTGTATATGTGTCTCGCTGTGTACTTCTGTGTGTCTGCGAGTGCGTGTGTGTCTCATTGTATCTGTGAGCGTGTGTGTCTCTCTCTCTGTGTCTTTTGAGTGTGTGTGTCTCTTTCTGTGTCTGAGTGTCTTTGTCTAAATCTCGGTGTCTGAGTGTGTGCATCCCTCTCTGTGATTGTGAGTGTGTGTGCCTGTCTCTCTCGGATGTGAATGTGTCTCTCTGTGTGTTTTGAGAGTGTGTGAGTTTATGCCTCTCAGTGTCTGTGAATGTGCAAATCTCTCTGTCTGTGAATGTGTGTGTGTGTGTCTCTCTGTCTGTGAGTGTGTGTGTCTCTCTGAGTATGTGTCTCTGTGTGTGTGTGTCTGTGTATGTCTCAATCAAGATTGATTAAATTAAGATGACATAACCAGAGACAGAGCACCTGCTACGGTCATAAAAGGTGCTGTTATGTTTCAATTGGCAAATGCCAAAAAAAGCGAGCAATGCGTTATAAGTACAGAGCTGAGTAGGACTCATCCTACTTGTGGACTTAATTTCCAGGAACCATTTCATGCTATTACTGTTTGCTGTGCACAACTGGCTGGCATGATTTGCCCACAAATATATTATTCTGTATATTCGATATATTCTGTGAAGCGCTTTGAGATGTCTAAAAGATGTGAAAAGCGCAATATCTAAATGCAAGGATTATGACTTATTATTTGATGCCACTGATTTTCTCTTATTTGCGTTCAAATTTGAGACAATTGTGATCCGATATCAGTAGGATTTAACTTTTATTATTTTTATTGCAGATTTTTATTATTAACTCAAAGCCCTTTAAGCATTAAGTAGAGTCAGCCAGTCTTTCCAGGTGATTCTTTGCAATGAAGAATTATAGTAAACAAGATTAGGATTCTAAATTAGTATTGAGGACGGAACTGATGATAAATTTCTAGCTATCTCTTATAAGCATGAACAATTAAATAATTAAACCAAAGGGCTACCTACTTAAAGAATAAGTTTAAAAAGACTATCAGACACCACTTTGCATAAGTCATCTATCTTCTTCTATCTTATATATATCTCATCTATACTAATAAAACAATGTCCGTCTGCACTTCAAAAAGGATCTCAATAACTGATTAAAGTAGAGACATGATATATACCCCATCAGAGAGGTCTTGCAGCTGGGAGTGAGATGAGCATATTTGTTTTTGGTTATCTCCTATCGTTTATGAGTTATTTCAGTTTTGCGTTTTTTACTGCAGTGACCACCAAGTCAAAGTGGCGCAATAGCATCGTGTGTCACAGAGCACCTACGTATGTATGCACATACTGCAGTTACACCTGGTGGCCGTGGTAGTTGACTGTGTCACTTGGCATCCTGCGTCACAGAGCATGCACGTAGCCAAATAGTGGGAACAAAATAAAGAACACAGATGAAGCTAAGCCACAGCAACAACAAAACTAAATTTTCAAAGGGCCTTTCATGTCAGGAGGACGTCCAAGTCATTATAAATTGTACATTTATATTGATCATTATAAAGATGCCTAAGCGAAAAACAAACTTTCAAGGATAAGTAAAAAGCCTAGACGAAAGAAAGAAGCCCATTAATGAAACTGAAGAACAAAGTCCTCCCACAGGAGTCCTCCTAGATGAATATAGGTAAAGATGAAATTCCTGTCTGTGCATCTGTCTGTCAATCTACATTCTACTCAGAGCGCTTAAATTTATCATATGGTTAGTATCACATATATGACTTATGTAGTTATGTACAAGACATATTTTACATGACTAGCATAATAATTACAGTACACAAGTACTGTAGTGGCTGGTGATATTAAGGCAAAGTTTCTGTGCCATTTTTAATTCTACATATTAAAGCTATGGCAGTGCATTTTCTAACAGTACTGTACCTCATGTGCAGAAAACATGTACTGGCACACTGGCAATGATGGGTACAACCAAACAGAACTGTTTTATTAGAACTCTTACAAAGATCGTTTCATATAGAGTAGGGCGGTCCAACCTTTTGGCTACTGAAGGCCAGCTCTGTTTGAAAAACACAAAACATTGTCCTCGCTTTCCCTCACTCTTCCATCCATTCTCTCACTCGCTTTTTCTCTCTCCCACTCATGCTCTTTTCCCACTCGTGCTCATTTCTCCCGATCAATCACTTTTCCCTCTCTCACCCCAATCCCTGTGTTTCTCTCCCCCTCCTCCATTTCTCTCTATTCCCCCTCTCCCTCAATCACTATCTTCCCCCCTTCTCTCTCTCTTCCCTCCTCTCTCAACCACTCTCACTGCCCCTTCTCTCTCTCTCTCAACCAGCCATGCGGCTCATGTCTTCCCATTTGGTAGCTTCCCGGGATTCCAATTAGCCAACTCACGTTTAATTCACAATTAAAAGCAAGTTCAAGCACACAAGTAGTTTACTCAGCCCATTGTATCTGTGCCAGTGCGCAGCTGATTGAGAAAGAGAGCGGGTCATCCAGCTGGTGCCCTGAAGTTTTTCTCTTTCCTCTCTCGCCCCCCTCCCCCCACCACTGCCATGCGCAATGACTTTGATGTTACACCCCCGGGAGGGAGAGCATTAGGTGCACATGTGTGGTCTTTCATTGGAGGTAGACACAGGAAACAAAATTATGCGGTTGTTAATATGAGTAGTCCATTTAAAATTAAGTGGATTTAATAGGAAATTTAAGGGGACTTGAGCAGATGTACACTTAGCCGATTACACAATTTATACAGATAAGAACATAACAATTTGCTGGCAAAAGAAGACCAAGGTCCATCTAGGTCGCCTACCACCATCCTGGCAGTCGTTTGATATGCCGTGTCCCAAACTATACACAGTATCACAAGATATAATTTGTTCTTCAAACAAATGACATTTTCTGCTTCCACTGTCTCCCTAGTGAGCCTGTTCCACGAGTTTACTAAGATCAGACTTATAAAGGGAGGTTTATACTGTGAGATCTTTAATGTCCAGGTTAATGTGAACAGGCAAACAGGACTTCTCATTTGAAGGACAGCACCTCCAACAATGCAACACACCAGCAGCACCACATTGAATTACAAGCTTAGACCAGGGGAGTTCCAACTGGCACCCGTGGGCAGCATCTGGTCCGCCTTCTCCCTCCCTGTTGAACTGTCCTCTCATGGCAGTGGCTGTAGCCGGTGTTTGGGAGGCCATGGTTGATAAGGGAACCGCTTGCCTTCCCCAGCTTTAGAGGGATACTCTGAAAAACTGTAGCAACGAGCAGCATTATTTCCATCCCGGCAGCAAATGCGCTGTAGTCTGTCAGGCAGCCCTTCCTGAGCTGAGGTGAAGCCAAGCAGGTCTTCATCTCCAATATAAAGGTGGGCGAAGCATTAAGCAACAGCGATCACAATGCAGTCACATTTGACATCACAAGATATACAAACCCAAACAAAACTGCCGAATTTCAAGAGTTTGTACGCTTGAGAACTCTAGTTGGGAGTGGGCCTGGCAGGCTTAAATATGGCAATGGCAGTGCAGAACTTATAGAGTTCCTTCAAGGAGGTGATTATGAAGGCGATGGAACAATGTGTACCCATGCAAAGCGAAAGTAGTAAGCTTAAATGCCATCCATGGTCTTGCCCCCTCCTACCTCTCTAACTCCCTACCAACCTGCCCGCTCCCTCTGTTCCGCGGACTCCGGTCTGCTCCATGTCTCCCGTCCGACCCGCCCTACCATTGACACCTGACTGTTCAGCGCTTTGGGACATCCTCCCGACATGAGAGGCACTCTATAAATGTAATTTTGTTGTTGTTGTTGTGAAGGCACTCCTGCCTGGTTGGACGGAGCTACAAAGCAAATCATAAAGAGGAAAAAAAGGCATTTAAGGCCATGAAGGAAGATGGCACAGAATTAAGTTGGATTCAATACCAGAAGACATGCCAGGACTGCAAAAAGGCATCAGAATAGCAAAGAAAAACGTTGAATTGAACATGGCAAGAGATGTGAAGAATAATACCAAAAAAGTGTTTTTCAGTTACATTAAGATAAAGAGTAAGAAAAACAAGAAATGGAATAGGGCCACAGGAGAACATGACAAATAATACTGCACAGGCTGCAATAGTGCTAAATACATTTTTGCATCAGTCTTTACCAAGGAAGAGACAGGTAACCTATTTGATACGGAAAGAGAACTCAAGGATGTCACAGGGGAAAGTTGCGACATTCATATCACTACCAGCATGGTTGCCGAACAGTTGGGCAAATTGTAAGGTAAATAAATCTCAGGGGCCAGATAAATTGCATCCAAGAATCCTTGGTGGAGTCCTGTAGCTCAGTGGTTAGAGCATTCGCTTTGCAAGTGAGAGACCTGAGTTCAATTCCAGGCAGAGGGTGAAACCTTGGGCCAAGTTTCCTTA